TGTGTGTGTGTGTGTGTGTGTGTGTGTGTGTGTGTGTGTGTGTGTGTGTGTGTGTGTGTGTGTGAGATAAACACAAACTATAGAAATCAAAGCTTTAAATGGTCTAGCTGAATGTTAAGTCTAGCTTGTATGATTCTTATGTGAATTTATCAATACTAAGTACCTAGAAACGGCCATCGAAATGATTTTTCGCTCTTGAAACGCTAACTCTCTACTAAATTACTTTTTTTAATAGCTTCTTTACCTCATTCAGTTCCCCTTTTAAACTACTTTTAGTTTCTTTTTACATTTCCTATTTTCATTTTCGTTACATTCGATTATATTTTTTTCTCTCTTTCCATTTCCTTCTTGTTACATTTCACTCCACGCGTTACATTAATACTGATACTGAAAGGTTTTTTTCTCGTATACTGTATGTGGATTTTCTCGATCCCACTACATACAATTATTGTGAAAATTCAAAAGAGCTTTCCTTTATCACAATATACTTGAAAAGCAAGCATCTTCTCACATTTGTGCATAAAAGTATCATTCTAGAATTGTAGTCACGTCTCAAAATCATATATGACAAAAATCCTTGAAGCGGCACATAACGGATATTATTATCAGTCTCTAACGGTCCAAAATATTTGCAATTGATGTGAAACTCGTGGAACGCTTTCTATGGAATTATTATCACAAGACAGTTGAAATTCTTGGAGAGCCTTCAAGGCTCTGACGCGATTCATGCCGCAAGTAAAATGCTCTCTCTCTTTCTCTTTGCACGAACGCATATATGTGACAACAAAAGGGAATTATTATTAGAAGTCTGTATACAAAGATACGTTTACGATGGAACGTGGGCGTTAATACAGCTAAAGAGTCTGTAAACACGCGGTTAGTTTCACTGTTAACACGTGGCCGGTGTATATTATTGCAATACGCTTGCTATACTACTCTTGTACTAAACTCGGCTGATTTACTAAAGTATTTCGTGATCTTTTCCAAGCAACTCGCTTGGAACTTATCGATATTACATTATGTAATTATCGGGAAATCGAGTAAGCTCGGAATTTCTCTCGAGAATAAAAACTCGACTGACAATATTAATAATAAAAAGTCTGAAGTATAAAAATAAAGCGCATAAATTGTAATTCTTATATACAATATAATACACTATTATTTCTAATTAAACTATAAAGAAAAATTTTATTTAAAAAATTTTATTTAAAAAAATTCTACTTACTAATTTTTTATATTTTCTTTTTAAGAATTTTTCTATAATATAAAACAAAATATATTGTATCGACAGTACAAAACAATTTTTTAAAAATGATTTTTACCAATTTACCTTATTTCACTCGAATCCGTTGCAAAAGATGTATCAACTCTTAGTTCTTATTAAAGAAAATTTTATTTATCTCATTATTTTGTACTATTGCCATAAATTCCGAACAAAATTTATTTTGGAAGAGTGTAGAAGTACAAGTCATCATAAATCACGCAGAAATTTCGTGGAAATTTCATGAGAAAGCAGAGAAGAATGTATAAGCCGTATATAGTGTTCCTTATCTATTTATTTGTATATGTGCAAGTATTTGCCTGTGTAATACACGTATATGTCCATAGGGGATTTTCGACATCTTTAAAAAAAAAATCGTTAAACTAAGATATTATGCATATCTCTGCATTTATGTATACATAACTTGCAAATTAAGTTCTTAGGAATTCAACTATCATCTTCAAATTTTGCCGGCTTTTCCGGCAACATGTCTCACTGCGGAATATTGCATTTAGTAATGCGATGTGTTCATAAATCTCCCTCATACTCTTGCAACCGCATATTACAGTTGCATAATCTGCAGTTACATAACTATAATATTCGGCTTATCTGGAAAGTATTGCAATCGTAATAGCATAATATTTTATACACCTGGAACATTTATTTATTATATTCTAATCTAGGATTTGTTTTTGATATCAAAAAAATTCCTCGATCACTTCGATAATTTCCGGCTCTGTCCGGAAATTAAGCTTTTTTTTTTTTTCCTTATAAAAGGTGAAGCGAGAGGAAGAGTAAATACAATTCTGCATCTTGTGCTTCTGCATAGAAGCGCTGATCTACAAGGACGACGGGTAAAAAAGAAGAGAAAGATAAACAAGGTGAAATTACGTTGCTCGATACAGTAGTTTCCAGAGCTTTTGCAGAGTTCAGCAGGTCTTTGCGATTGTACTTGCTGAAATAAAGCACGTCTTCTCCTCGCCCTTTATCCTCCTCTTACCGTCTTTCCTCGTTTTCTTCCACCTGGATGGAAGTAGAGCCATGACTAAAGAATGCAGAAAAGCTCTCCCACATCTCAAAAAATAGAGGAATAGGTTAAAATAGAATCGAAGAAATAACAAAAATAAAAAAAACGAAGACAATCCGTGAAAAATTTAAGACATAAAATTTAAGACATAAAATTATACAAACAAAAAGAATCTACTTTTTTCTTCAAACTTTTTACAAAGTCCTGTAATCAAAGTGTTTGGTTACAGGAAGCTGAGTTTCTTCAGTTGCTTTGTACAAAGATAATAAATATCTATATCTTCATACTGTGTTCTTCATACTGTTAAGTATGGATTATTGAATAACTTTCAATAGTTTTAAAATTTCACAGTAATTTTTTGTAAAACATCGCATTATATAAATCAATTTGTAATTAATCTTCTTGTACGCGCGTGAATATTAAAAAATATTATCCTGTGAGAGAGAGAGAGAGAGTTTAGATGTACCGTTTTTCCGTTTTGCAGATTGCACCGTCATAAACACATTTCGATCGAAATTCGCTTTACTTTTCATCACGTTAGCAATTTCGTATCTATAAACGTTTTCATATAAGATCGAAATCACCGTATTAATATTCACGACAATGTATATATTATTTTAAAGGCTGAAAACGTCTTTTTGCGTATTAACGAAACTAATCGAATTTGTAAAATCGTTTAACAAATATTTTTACCGCAATTTTGCCGTAAGAATCATCGATAAGAGATTTTTTTGTATACATAAATAATATAATCAATTTCTGAGGAAAAAATGTATTTAACACATACACACATAATACACAAATAATAAATAAATTATTATAGGTTCTATTTCATATATCGAAATTAGTCACAACAAAATATAAAACGTCTTGTAAACCGATTACTTACCACAATATTTTTTTATATAGAAAGTTTATGCAAACAGTCAAATTAAAAAAATATTATTAAAACAATATTATTATATGATATAAAAATATTATATAATTATTTTACAAAATTTCGTCAACATTGACGTCTTGTATAAAACGCGTTTTATAAAAGAGTAAAATTTGAACCAAACGAATCACATAAATTATAGTTCAACCAAAAAAAGAAGTCTACCATATGATGTAAGAGGGAGTTTAACATCTACGTTATGTTATATTTGTTCATGCGTTAAGAATTTTCATTTTCATTCCATCACAGCTGAAGAGAAGTCCTAAGTAAAGTCCGAAACGTCCCGAACGAATACGTGAATGTAATTTAATAAATTCAATTTTATCCACCTAACAATATTGCTCGTTTTTTTAAATTATTGACCTTGAATAAATTAGTGAAATCACTTTAATATTGCTGTGAAATTTGAAATTTTGAAACACCTTTATCCAAAATAAAAAAAAAACAATAATAAAAATATTTCAAATTTAACGAAACGAAAAAAATTAAGGTGTACATTGAAGTGGTTCATTCTATGTGTATACAGATAGACAATATTAATATAAAAAGATTTTTTTTACTTACCTGTGGGTGGAACGAAGGCAAAAAGAACCTTCCAGAAGATGGTAAGGGAGTGCATAAGATAATCCATTACGGATGGTGAGGAAGGTTGACCGTTTTCACCCTCAGCGTCGTCTTCATCACCTCTACTGACGGTCAGCGCTTCCATGAATTGTTCTTTCCAAGAACTTGTGCCTAAATATAAAATTTTAGAATTTATATTTTAGAAGAAAAGTAGAAAACAAAAAAGACATTATATATATCTCGAATATTCTGCAATAGATAAATTAATTTTATAAATCATAAAAGTTTTTAATTTTTATTAACAATTTTTTAAATTGATTATTCTTGATTAATTTTTCAAACAGTCAATTATTTAGTAACGTTACAACAGTTCCTGTCTATTATGCATAAACAAACAAAGGATTCAGTCTGGAGGCTTTAATAAAGCCTCAACACTGAATACAGTAAAAAAAAATACTATACTATAAAATCTCATTTTTGTTCACATTCAAATCTATATGTAATCGTGACGAGCAAGCGAATGAAGCGCTTTATCGAAGGTCTAAAAGTCGAAAAATGCTTTGAGCGATTCCGCTTCACAGGCTGAGTGAAAGCAGAACATGCAGAAAGGAAAACGGGACAAAGAAAAGCACTATAATAGAGCAACGTGATATTCCTTTCTCTATTCTGTAATCGATTCCATTTTTACACGTGTATG